CCTCTGTTTTAGTATATAAGCCCGGCAAATAATTGCAGATAGACAGAGATAGAGACAGATAATTGAGTTAAGTGAGCGGTAGTGACGGTAATATAAAGTGTGTGTTTTGTTATCGGGATTGCAAACGTATTGACTGTGGAAATTCTGTGTATTGCAAAGTTGCAACGAGAAAGAATAAATAAGTTTTAATTAAGAAAGGACTTGCATTTCCGAAGTTTCTCGGAAAGAATTTTTACGGGAAATTATCAAACGAGCAGATACATAACATAGTATTTAATGACGAAATTGACAATTAATGATTATTGCGCCATTTTTTTTTGTAATAAACATACTAACATAAGCACGTTTTGCACATAGAAAGCGTTATGGTAGGAGACACTCAGATCACCTTGCTGTCAATTCAGTATTTCCAAAAACAGTTTTCTTTAAATAGTGCTAAGTGGTTTCATAAGTTTTTTAGTAGCTTTGTGAACTGTAAATTATTGTTTAGTGATACAGGTAATTATGACACCCAAGAAACGCCCTTTCTATGGAAAGTCTTCTGCCGCTAAAAGAATGGAAGCACAAAGAGCAGCTGAAACAGAAGAAGAATGCAATGAAAGACTTCAAGCACAAGCTGCAAGACAGACTGCTCAATACAGAAAGAGACTTTGGAACAACATAAAGTTAGACTTCGAGCTCAAGCTGAAAGGCAGGCTACTCAAAGACAGCAAGAAAATGTTGATCAGCACAAAGCCAGAGTTCAGTCAGAATCATCAAGGCAAGTTGGATATAGACAACAAGAGCAGTAGCTAAGGTACCTTGCCTCTCTGGTTGCGGTGGTCATTCCATAGGACCACTCTTTCTAGAATCAAGCTGGATTACAAATATCTATGTTGACCATGGTAGGTGCACCGAACACTAACACTTGGTAACTGAATGAGGTGTAAATGATAATTACCCATAATATTGCTTCACATAAATGACGCATTAGGCTTCAGCTTTAGGTTTATTCAGTGGTTCACTGCAATTCTCTAATGGGTGAAATTAATTGTCAAGCATTTTACAAGACTCATGCTCCACTGACAGGTCAGAATTTAAAACTGCACGTGGATACAACATCTGATAAATCAGGCCAGTTGAAAATGTAAGATTAATCTTTACAACCTTACCCTTTCCCGGTGAATGTCATTTGAATGAATGTGGAAGTAGTTCTAGGCCTTGTCTTACGTCATTCGTAGCAAGTGCAGTTGCCACTATGATTTGAGAACACGTCTCTTTCAAATGTTTGTAGATGTTCAACCCATATAGGTTCATAGAGAATAATACACACAGTACTATTTTGGCCAGATTTCTAATAGTGCCAATTCCTGGTAATTGCCACTGATCAGCGAGTTAAGCTGTCACACATACACCTAAATTCTTCCACCATTGTCTAGTTGACATAGACACGGAGTTCAGGTCCAAAGGAGAAGAGAAGGAGTACAACTGCAAGCAGACACCTTACACTGGTAATTGCAATTAAGCTAACTAGTTTACAAACAGTGACCAAAACTTTTAACCTCTAAGGTTTTGTAACATGTTTATTCAGAACTCCAACCTTACTTCTGAAACAAGTTAAACACGATCTGAATAAATAAGCGAAATCAACTGTGACTTCACAAATAGATCGGCTGTTCTGCTGCCAATAATATCATCAAGGTTGTTTGTTGAAGTTCGTGCATAGCTACTCGAGAACTATCTATGCCAACTACCCCTAAGTTTGAATTGATAGACTAGAGCAACTGTTTCTGACTTTTTTGTTGATGGACATAATAAATTATAATTAAAAAACAACAATAGAATAAGCACATAAAAATTACTATAATATTAATATTAATCGCAGACTTGCCTTTTTACGTTTTGACATGATGAGTGCACTTGTTTTAAGAACAAAATTCTATATTGTGTTTGGACTTCAGGGATGCAATGACGAAAATCAAGTCTCACACTGGTATGTAGTAGCAAATGAAATCGGAAAATGAACTGCTTTATCTGCAAGATTTGTGTCTCTCCAGTTCTCTGAATCAAAAACTCTAACAGTGGATCTGTTTCAAAGTTTGATCTTAACTCTCTATTGCAAGAAAGTTTCAATAAGCACTCTCCTTCTTTTATAGACAAATCAGCAAGCAGGTCATTATTTTATAATGCCTGAAAATTCCAAAGTAAAGAATATTTTTTACATTTTAACTAGAATGCCATATAACACAGATATTTAGACTTATCCACTTAAATTATATTTATTCTTTCTGCTTTAGACGAATTTTTAAGGTCTCAAGTGTCGAGTTTGTCTTGAGATTTACAACTCTTCTTTTCCACGAACCACCTTAGATGAGGAGCTCTTGCACCACCAGCCGTTTCAGAATATTGGATCCTCTGAACTAGAGGGAAGGCGGGTATTCAACACTATCGCCGCTACCCACTGGCAACTCGTAGGCTACTCTTTTTGAATAATGGAATTTGATTGTTACTCTTTAACGCAACCATGGCCCCAAAGTGCTGAGTGAAGTTCTTGTTTGTGGTAAGAGGGTAACCAATTGGACCACACTTAGCCCTTTCTTCATGGTTTTCTTGTAATAATGCCCAATTCAATACGATCTAAGGTTTGTTTATTTGTAATTAAGCACAAAGCTACACAAATGGGTTATCTGTGCTCTGCCCACCACGGGCATCGAAACCCGGATTCTAGCGTTGTAATTCCGCAGACATACCGCTGTGCCACTGGGGGGCACGATTTAAGGATCATCTGTCCTTTCTACTTTTCAATTAATAAGGGAAATTTACCAAGAAATTCGGTGAATCATTTCAAACTTTTCTCCAAGTTATTCAGCTTCTGTGTTTTTAAATAACAAGTTTTTATAAGTAGTAATCAGTCAATTTCAAAACCTAGAAGTTCAGATTGGCTATTTTTATAATTTTTTATCAAAATTAACCAAGAGCAAAATATGAACAATAAATGTGTAAATGTTTTATAATCGTGAAATTGAAATAAGGAAAGATTTAACAATTACAACAAAGCACTTAATTACACTTTAAAAATGTATTAATTTTTTGCATGAGGATAAATTAATCAACAATCTCTTGACATAGTGCACTAGTTTTTAAATATCATTATACAAAGATTATTTGCACTGCCTTATTTCCAAGAGTTTCACAATGTTTTTTTTACCAATTATATAGCATTAATTTGTTTACCACTAAAATACTGCAAATTACACAGGGTTGAGTGCGTTGTATGAAAAAGATTTTGAATATGCAAATAAATATGTCACGTGCAAATCACATCCGATATAATGTCGTGGTGGAAAAGAATGTATCAGAATTACATTCTGATATTTAGCATTCATAGGTAGTGTGATGCTACCAAACATTTACTTTGGGGAACGGTATGGAACAACACTTTCTGAAGCTAAATATTCATACACACAGAGCGGGAAGACGTGTTCAGATCGTGGATTTAGAATTTCCAAGACGAAGATATTACTTATGCTTAATGACATTGGAAATAAAAAGGAATGTGGATCAACTTGGGCACCAGGATTATTCCAAAAGAGACCTGCAACAAGTCGTACCCCAGGTGTGGTAGGCAAAGTGAGACGTCTTGTAACAAGTAAGAATCCATAAATATAAAGATCAGTGGCAAGAGCTGTCCACGTCGTACCCCAGGAAGCAGTACGCAGCGTAATTAAGAAGGATTCTCGTTTGGTAAAGTGACACAAGTTACATATACGCAATTAAGTTGCTTCCACGACATGTCTGTTCAACTGTTACATATTTCAGGCAATTATAGAATAAAATTAATATTCATGCTATTCCATACGAAGACATACTAAATACGTTGCTGGATTTCTTTGCAATAGATTGTTGAAATGGTCGCTTGGAAACTGTCGTCGTCGTACACTATATAGCTTACGCAAAGCAAGCAAGGAGAGATGTTGTGCTTCAGACATAACAACCTTACAACGAAGCTTTTTGCAATGGAAAATACGCTGAAATACTATAGTCATCAGGTAGAGTCTCCCCAAAGTGACAATATGGCGAGGCTGCAAAATCGTTTGAATAGAACGTACTCAACCCCTGTTCTGTGTAACTTTTGTGTACTTGTGTATGCTATATTCTTAAAAAGTTGTTCATCTAATTTATCCTTTCCATTATGGTATTCAGGTACACTGATATCCAACACAAGTTCAAAGTATCTGCGAGAATGCAGATTCTAGAGATTTGCAGGAAATAAATCAAACATGGACAGTAAAGGTATGAAAGAAACAAACATAAATGAACAAGGGAAACAAAACTTGATAACGAGGAACAAGAAAATAAAAGTTTTGAGACGGCTTGACTGGGTAATGAAAAAACTTTATTATGATTGTACGACGTTTCGACAAGATTTTGTCATCCTCAGGCACAAATATTTATCAGAGATACATATATGCAGTATAAAACAAAGAGATCACATGACAGCATATAGCTTCACAGTCTAACATAGGTATTTTGGTACCCCGGGGTGTTGATTTAGGGTGGGGGCCGTTTTCTTCAATAAAGATATCTTCTTTTATTTTACATTTATTGATGTTAGGTTCTTTGTTTAAAATTACAGTGTTTTGAATGAGTATACTGTGGTTTTTTGAGTTGCAGTGGTGGTAAACATGGAAGGGAATTTTATTGTTTAGTGAATCTGGTTTCCAATTTTCTACCCGTTTCTCCGGTGTATAATTCTGGGCAGTTATTGCATGTTATTTTATAAATGATGTTGGAATTATGTGATTCTATGTAATTTTTATTTAATAATGATTTTAGTTTAGTGCCAGGTTTTGGGGTGAATTTGATGTCAACAGACATTTAATATTTGATGGCAAGTTTTATCCAAGTGTTGATTATTTTTGAGTTGCCGCCAGGGATAAATTGTAAACTGCAGTGTAATGTTGTGTTTTTGTTTGGTGTATTAGTGTCATTTCTATTTGTGAGTTGAGTTTTTTGTTCTGGTGGTTGTGTTGAAATGTTTCGACAATGTTTTGTGGAAATTTGTTGGTGTGAATGAAGGAATGCTTTATAGAGTTGATTTCTACATCTATGTACTCAGTTGAACAAAATCTTGAAGTTGTGTGTATAAGATATTTAGTAAATTAATTTTTTATTTGGATTCAAGGGCGGAATTCCAGATGTAGAGGCCTGTGTGAATAATTTTTCAGTAAATTTTGGTTTTGAAATGTGTGTTGGATCTGATAATGTCAAGGTTAAGAAAAGACAATGGTTTGTTATTTTCGTGTTCAATGGTAAATTTAATGTTAGGATGAGAAGTGTTTACGTGTTCCACAGAAGTGAAACCGACAAAAGTGTCGTCAACATAACTGTACCAGTATAGGCGAGGATAAAGTACGGATTGTATGGCTTGTGTTTCGAACCGGATCATAATTATGTTGGCGAGAACAGGGTTGCCCATGATTAAACCATTTGTTTGAAGAAAGTTTTTGTTCTTGAAAATGAAATTGTTTTTTGTTGTTGTAAATTCTAAAAGGGAAACGAAAAATATGTTGGGGATGTGAATTAAAAATTGGGGTCATTACTGTAGAGATCAAGTGTAACATTACAGGATTCTTTGACGGGAACTTCGGTGAAAAGTGATACAACGTCAAAGCTGGCCATTAAGGCTTTGGGGTTTACTTGGTTTAATGTTTTTCAAGTTAAAGACTAGTGACTTTGCACAATTGCTCAAGTACCACGTGCGGGGAGTGGGGTTGTACCTTTTTTCTTTTCGGACAAGGCCCCACTTGGGGTAGTTATAGAAGTAATGGGGAATAATGGAGAAGCTTGATCAGTACACTGAGACCTCTGTGAATCATGAAGAGGATTTTCAACCCCGCAGGGGAGTACAGGTATTTTAGGCTAGTTCTGTTCAATGCACATAATGTGAAATGGTCATTGCAAGAGTGCTCCCCTTGGAGTATATGCAATGCAAGTTAACAAAGGACCTCTCCCTCAACCAGAGGCACTACGGTGGTAGGGCATAAAAAATCCACGATTTATTCGATTTTGGTAAACTTTTGTAGGATGTAGCATACGATAAGATATGACAATTACAATCCAGTTTCCAAAATTGACTGAGTTATTACTGGCCAGATAACCAGCAGAAACTCCATAGTTTATGACAGTACTTCTTATTGTGTAACTAACGGGTCCGCTACATGAACTTTTTTCTTTACTCGTTGTTGCAGCTGTTTTTCAGACGAGAGCCAAATAGACTTTCAGGAGATTGATCCAAGCTCTGCTGACCGTGACTGCAACTTTACTACTCTTTGGCATGTCATCACCAATCATCATTATTCCCTCGATTACCTAAACATGCAAGGTTCTGAGTTTTTAAACTTGAAACTCGTGCAGCCGCTGTGGATGCGTTCACTATGGACTTTTTGACAGTCATCGTTGAGGAAAATTCATCTATAAAGCTCAAAGATGCTGTGGCGGCATTCAAAAATAATTTTGGTACTGACAAGAACAGTAGTGATAGTAGTAGTAGCAGCAACCTTCAGCAATATCATAAAATTAAGGTCTCCAGCCTCCAACATACAATGAAGAAAGGTCGCATAATTTGCTTTGAGAACCAAAAAGAGAGAGAGAATCAATCTGTGTGTTATTGTTAAGATGATTCCGAACCCTGTGTCTCTTTGACTGCTCACAGTTCCCGACTGAAATATGGTACCATCACATGGACTGAATATTTGGATACAGCAGATTCCGTATTTTATAATAGTTATGCAATATCTCGAGAAATAGTTATCAGAATTTCATGTTTCTTGCTCTGCCACCCAAAAAAACTAAATTGCTTCTGGTTGTGGTAGAGAACTTGTGTTAAGTAACAAACACAGAGTAAGCACCAATTCCATTATTATAAATACATAATGGTAGAGAAAATTCTTACTTTGCGAATTAAAACCTGGTTGGCAAAAAATTAGGGACCGAACCTTAATATACAAAATTAAATCTTTTAGTGTGTGTTTTGATCATAAAAATGATCTTGCTGTTAGAGTGGTAAGTGGATGACTCAGTAAAAGGTTAACAATTATGATCGTGCATTACTAAATGTGGAAAGCGTAAGATAAGTATGCTGGTTATGGTAAGGCATACTTACTAATCCATAAATATTCTATTTAGAAAGTTTAACTATTTTACTTACTTTTAAACTTTAAATACAAAAACATAATCTAAGCTTCTAAATAAACAGTATATCAGTATTCATATCATGTCTAATGCTCTTTCTTTTGTTTCGTACATAACCACGTGTACTATGGATAAAACAACACTCATATAATAAAGACCATCAATTTATTGAAAAAGAATACGAAATAGATATACATCAAATATAATAACAACTGAAGATATTAAAACATGTGATATAAAATATCGCGGACCCAAATATAAATCACTTTAATCAAACGTCCTTAAGCACTGACATGTGTTTTGATTACGAACATGTGATGAGTATTTGTAAGTAATTTCTTAGTTTCTTCTTCTTCCCAACGTAAAAAAAAAGAAACATTAAGGGTGTGTGTGTGTGTGTGCAAAACATTGTTATGTAAACAAGTAGTTAATTTAACCTACTGGGATTTCCTTTTGGTCCAAAAAATGATGTTACGGTTACGAGCCAGTCCGTTAAAATGATCGTTAATGACTTTGAGAGTTTTTTAAAAATAGTTAACGATCTTATTTAACGAATTATACTGTTTGTTAATAGGATCTACATGATTTTCCATCTTTTCTTCTCGCACATACATTAATATACATCAGAAAATTACAGACGTCCAAGTATTATATCGTATAAATTTTATGGACTACAAATGTTAGTCGATATAAATTCTAGTTATCGTAAAAGAAAACAACTAGATTCATCGAAAGGTTCCTATTTCAATAAAATACCTTATGGCAGATGGCGCTAAACAGTTAGAGGACAATATGCTAGTGATGTATTTCTATGCAACTCCTTTTTCAAACCATCAAGATTAATCAAGTACTATCGAATAAAAAGTTTCTGCTGAATTTCGCGTAAACCTACACGAGGGCTATTTGCGCTAACCGTCCCTAATTTTGAAGTGATAGACTAGAGGGATGGCAGCCAGTCAACCCTTGTCAGACCAAATAGTGGGATTTGAACATTATTATTAAACGCACCAACGACCCAAACATGCGGAGCGCAATTTATCCTTTTTTATTTCTTGGCTGTAAGAGGGCGCGAATCGCGGAAACGTGGTCTAGTCTGGCACGCTAACCACAGGGCCGCGCTCGACCCAGTTAATTTATTATAGCCTAAATTTAGTAATTACATTATTTTTGGCAACATTTGAGGGTGAATTTGTATTCATGAAAGCTATCTTAATTACATTTTGAGATTTTAATAAGGTTTTAATATCATCAAATTACCAGGTGGCTTCTCTATATTTCATACATGTTTGAGTAAATGTTCATGTATATCAATCATAAAATAGGAACTAGTTAAACAAAAAATAAACACGAAGAAACGTCTTATTAACAGTACAGAGAAGTACTCACGTTTCAAATTTCAGTTGACAAATCACATGTATCTCTTACGAGGGTAATTTGAAAATCGTCCAAAAATTAAAAAGTTAATTTGGCAATATTCTAATAACTATAGTTTTATCCAAATAAACATAAATTAGAATAAATTTAAACTTCCTATCACTGAATGTTCCTTATCATATAATAATTAAGGAAGAGTGACTTTGAATGTGGTCTACCACTAATTCAAGTATAAATATTTAGCTGCTAAGATTAACTTCTTTTATTCGATGGGGTGGGGTGAAAAAATAAATTTTATTACGGAAAAAAAAAGGAGTATCCACAAGTAGGCACCCTCACTGTATACAGTAAAACTCATTATGCACATTAAAACACAATCATTCAAACAGGCATTGTGCATGACAAGTCCCATAATCAAGTTTAAAAATCATGGAATACATAAAAAAAACTGATCTAATTATGTTTATCTTTCAAAAGTGCTAATAAATAAAAAACATCAACACATAAAATAATAAAATAGGATGGATATAAACTCAGCTAGGAGTTTCAAGCAGGTTTGAAAAATATGTTTCACAAGACCTTTAAATGCACAATGCTATAAGAATGTATCTTAATAACAGTACAGAGATAACTCAAGAGGTTTATGAAGTAAAAGATTCATTTTTCACACAAACCTACTTTTTGGCAAATATATTATACAGTAGGGGATTATAAGTTGTCATTTTGTCATTATTTAAAAAAAATAAAAAATACATTTCAGGTGCTAAAAGATGCATTTGCAAAATGTCAGTTTCAAATGAAAATTTTATGAAATATATCCTCTTTCTTTTAGTTCATTACACCCAAAACATAGGTAAAAACTTACAGATATACAAGTAACTTTTAAGTCAAGGAAAATTTTTGTCTACTTTTTAATTTCACAAAAAAAACACTTAATATTTCACAACTGTGATCTTTATCAATTCATCACTGATTTTAAGTACTGGGCAACTTTCAGTTTTGTTTAAATGTAATTTCACTTATTTATCACATGATTTAACTCTTTTGGTTGTGACCAACACCTAAATATAGCGTTTTTTACTGCACTTTTGAAGAAAGTAATGAAAATTTAAAATCACTCAACTTTTTCTTTAAAACTTGTTATGACTGTAGCTTTTTTTAAATGCAAATTGTTTGTTTCTAACAATAAACACATATAATATTTGGAAGTTACTGGGGTACTGCCATTTATTAATAGACTTTCAAAACAATTTTAAGATTTAAATACAGACATAGTACAGAGTCTAGCCTAATTTACACTTAAGCTCACACCAACTTTGTAACAAACACTGAAACATCTAGCAATGGAGTTAGTATATTTTGATAACTATTTTGCATATTAGCCTGCATGTGCTAAACAGTTCTTAACACTAGTATGCATAGTGATTTACATACACTTATGTGTCTGTCATGTGTATAAGCAAACACACTGAATGGTCCATGTGGCAGTGAACTGTTTCAGCAAAGAATTAGATTTAATAAATAGAAAGCTAACACACAACTGACATTCAAAAACTATGTTTACAAAATGTGCACTGTCTCAAAACACAAGTCAAAGTAAGAAAACAGCTGAGAAAATATCAAATGTATTGCCTAAAAAACAAAATGATATTAAATTAACTAAAATTTCAACTTATGGCTTGAAATTTCTTTCTAATGATGTTATAAAAAGCCACTCTAAAAATCTACAAGAAGCACAAGAAGAAATTATAAATGTGACTAGGTCACAAAAGTATTTATGTTCAATTTATCTGTCCTGGCACAAACGTTACTTACTCAATACTTCATAACATAAAAAATACTAGTATAGCAGCAGTTTTCTGCCACAGTGTACTCTCATCTTGTTGTCAGTGGTTTACACATTACTTACAACATTTATTTCTCCAATCCTTGTAGTTATTTCACTAAATGAGGGACGAGCAACTGGATGATAATTCCAGCAACCTTGAAGCATCTCTGTCAACAACTTAGGGGAAGCCTCTGGTTGGCTCCATACCAGCTGATGGTTTTTCAGTAACTGTAATATCACATCATCTGTTTTAGTAGCAAAAGGAAAATCTGCCTGTGTGAACACTTCCCAAACAAGCACTGCAAAGGACCATACATCACTCTTTGTGGACCAGTTGTCTTCAAGCACAGCTTCTGGAGCAGCCCATCGAAGTGGTACTACTTTATTCTGGTAGCGACTGTATTCTTGGGCATAGGTGTCTTCAAACAAGCCAGGGTTACTAATCTTTATGTCTAATCGAGATGTGATCAGACAATTTCTGGTTGCTAAGTCCTTATGGATGAGTTGCTGAGACGAAAAGTATTCCATTCCAGTTGCCACCTGGTGGCAAACACCAATAACTTGAGATGTGGACAGTGGTGGTGGCTTAGGACCTTTGCGAGAATTTTCTTTCCTTGTGGCCAACAAAAACTGCTTCAAATCACCCTATACCAAAACAGAGTAACTTGAAGTTTAAATGAAAGTAATGGCAGATATACATTATATTTTTGTACCTTAAAATGTACACAACTCTTTTCTTTTACATAAATTTTATTGTTGAGATATAAAAAAGTATTTTAGCAATTTTGAAAAGATATCAAAATAATATACAACAGAAATGTTAAAAATAAAAAATTTAATACAAAACAAAGTATGGTCACTTGATTCAATAATTAAAAAAAAACAGGTGAAAATTATTCTACTTGAAATGCAAACCCAAACTAGTTCTGAGCAGTATATTTTCTACAAGATGATTTCAAGTGACATTTCTTAAAACTTTTGTAGGGATATATTTTTAACTTTTTTTTTCTCATTGACAGAAACCAAATCCTCTATATGGAATAATATTGTTTGCATGAATTTCCTGCAGTGTAATGTACATATAGTTAGTGGAAAAATTAAAATATTTAATTCATTGGTTATATCTGTGATGATCAATTTATATTCATGAAAATAAGCTGATGCAAAATAAATGGACAATAGGGAAAAAGATTCAAATACATATACAGCATACCAAAAACAATCACTATATATTTTATCACAGTTGTCTACTACTTTTTTGAATATTGTTAATTGATTAATCATAATTAAAGAATAGGTTAGAAAATCGCAAAGTTTCTTTATATTTTTATTTTAAAGGACGACATTTCCAGCTGGAACTCTTCATCAGATCGTACAGCTTACAGCAAAGGCGCATGCGGAGAACTTAAAAAGTTGCACGTGTAGCATTTTGAACATTGAGCTTGAAGTTTCTCTTTAAAATTACATCTTTAACATAAATGTTAAAAGTTATAAAAAGAAAAAACAGATTGAAATTAAAATTGAAACAAAATGTGGAAACAATGTTTACTGCATAATTTGCAAAAAATGCAATAGTTTATACATTGGACAAACAGGCACTGACTCTGAGCAAGGACAAGAACATCTAAACCATATTAAACTGTGGAACCAAGATACACCTATAGGCAAACATTTCATCATCAGCAAGCATACAATTGAGAAACTTTAATTCTGGGACTTATTAGTGCTCCAACAAATATTCACAAAAGAGAATGACTGGAAAGTAAATTAATTTATAATCTGGGGACCCTACAACCATCTGGTTTAAATAAATGCTTTTCTTTCCTATAGATTCTCATTTTTTCCACATTTTGTTTCACTTTTAATTTTAATCTGTTTTTCTTTTTTATGACTTGTAATTTTTATGTCAAAGATGAAATTTTTCAGAAAAATTTCATGCTCAATGTTCAAAATGCTACACATGCAACTTTTTAAATTCTGCACATACATCTTTGTTGTAAGCTGTATGATCTGATGAAGAGCACTAGACTGAAACATCATCTTCCTAAAATAAAAATATAAAAAACTTGGCAATTTTTAACCTATTCTTTGATTTCGATATCTTTGATGAGTATGTGGTTAACTTCATATTTCTTTTATAAAAGTTGAATAATCATAACCAACTGCTTCATAACTTACCCAATCACTGTATTCTAGGACCATCAGAAAAGGTTCAACATCCAAGCACTGACCTAAAAGTTTTGTCCAATTCTTGTGACTAAGATTACGAAACATTTCAGTTTCTTTCTTATATTCTGAATGAATGTCTTCATCTTTTGTTTGCAGTGCTTTCACCATAACGACAGTTTCGGTTTTATGGTCATTAATATCTCGAGCTTTAGCTAGGAATACTTCACCAAATTTTCCATGTCCTAGGATGGGGATCAAAAGCAAAAAGCAATATTATGTTCCCAGTATATTATTTAATTCTATAATTCACAAATTATGAAACAAAATGAATATTCTAAAATATTACAATTTGGATTTCCTTAAAAAAGTGAAAACAAGTCAAATATCCTTAAAAAAACAAGTAGCATAATTTTAAGATAATTTATCATAAAATTATAGGAGTGTAATTTGTTTCTAAGTTTAATATATGATGGAATTGTCAAAATTTCCAATTACTCTGTTCCAAAAGTAAAAGACTGCTATCAAGTTTCATTGATGTTTATGATTACAGAACTTAAACTTTCATGATTTCTGTATGTATGTAATGAACACATTTCAAAATAAGTTAATTATTTAAAGCCTGGTAATAGTTTTTCTATATCTAGAACCTTGAAACCTTGCAGTATTTTATGATCATAAAAAGAACATCAAGGAGACTCATCTTTAAGAATTTCTGAACTACAAGTAAGTAAAGCATCAGTTTCTATATCTCAAGAGCTTTAAATAAAATATAGTAAATTTGTAAAACATTCTATGAAAATATAAAAAAAGACTGTTCTGAGTTCTGTAATGACATACAAACTTAGGAGAAAATTGTTGGAACAGGCTCTTTAATATTGAAAGTTATTTGCCCCTAATACTCAGATATGCAAGTTTTTTTTTTCAACTACCATGGAAATTTTAAAGGCCATCTCTGTCAAAATGTTTGTCTTTGTTGACTCTACATTTGTTTGGCAATCTTTCTATATGAGAATACTTCTCTTTGGTAAAGCCTTTCACATCCTTCCATCTATACCCATTTACCTGTGCTGGTACCACACTGCTGAATGGTCAGGGATTTACAACGAATCAAAGCTAAACATATTACCCATAACACCAAAGCTTACATATGCAGTGTCATACTATGTTAGTAATTATAAAATGCAGTTAACTCCATGTTAACATACAAATAAATTACTGTTCAGTCTTTATGGTAACATAAAAATATGATAAATTTCTACAGTTGCATGTCAGTAATTTAGAACAGTCCCTATAGTAACAAACAAATACCTAACTGGAAGTGAATTAGGGTATAGCCTAGTAATTATGGACATATGCATGATGATATTTCGTTAAAGACTTCTACAACAAGACTAACACAGAACATAAAGAATATATAAAAGCAACCTCTTTATGAAATGTAAAAAATATAAAGAGATAATAAATTCATCAGATTCACCTACCTAGCAGCATCATTGTCTGAAGGTTATTTCTAGAAAACTGAAAATTGTCATATGAAGATCTGTTGGCAGGTTGAGAACTAGAGCCAGGAGCATTGACAACCCCCTCATTCTTACCAACACCATTTACTCGCTCTTGATCACCAGCTCCAAGATTAACCCTGTCTTTCATTTCAGTATCACCTTGTGCATCATCATCATCATCTGGTTTGGCCACTAGAAGTATAATATATTAACAGAATCATCCTATATTACAGTTTGCGCAAATTTTAAAAAGAAGGATATTTCAAATTAAGTTATAAAAATCTACAAAAACATTACTCAAAAATGAATAGTCTAGAGTATTCTTATTGAATTGTTTGTTTCTTTGTTTTGGATATTTGAAAAATCTACACAAGTCATCCCTAATTTTGGACTGATAAGCTAGAGGGAAAGAAGCAATCACCAGCAACTCTTGGGTAATAGTACTCAAATGGTAGGATTGGATCAGCACTCATATAATGCACCCATGGCCACAAAGTGTGGAATGTGTTTTTTTAGTAAAAGGATAGGAACCCTCAGAATCACAGTCTAGGATGCTAATCTCATGGCCATGCTCAGCCCACTTACTTTTTATATAGCTTTTATATAGGTATGATAGCTTGTTCTGCCACTGACCTTTTAACAAGACAAATTATTTATCTTATCTCTATTAAACTGTGAAACTCACTTTAAAATATCGCCCATTAAGGCTAATCACTGACATGCTGGCTGATTTCATGTATTTCTATCAACTAACTTTTTTCTACCTTAACTTTTCTTTTACTTCACTTTTTCTCTACTTGACTTGTGCTCACTTGGTCGCCTATATTTATATGTTGTTCACTGAGGCCTCGAACTTTCTATAAACTACACAAGTGACGTTATAATGTAATAATACTCACTTAAGGTAATGAGAAAAATACTGAATATTCGAATTACTCTGTGTCAACAATACTACAACAATTTAACCATTCATACAACATACGACTCTGACCGAGTTACGCAACCAAACTTGTCATAACTATCACCTTTACAATAACTACTTTAACTCTCTTGTTATGAAAGGTGAATAATCATTAAATATGAAGTCACAAAATAAACTAAATAATAATACTTACAATAAACAGTCTTGTGTATCCAACAAGAACCTTAATTCATGTTGTCTTTATAATGAAGTTTCATTTACTTATATGTTCAGTTCTATACACAAAAATTAGTGCTACAAAATAAATCCTGTTCTTGGATCATTATTAATTATACCAGTTTTAGTCTAAATATCTGAAGAGTTTCAAGTTGATTACTCGATGTTTTATTGCAATATCAAATGAAGTAATTAGAGCTTGTGTTAGTTTATTCAGTTTTAGCTTAAATATTAGAAGACTTTCAAGTTGAATAGCTGAGGTTTTCTGTAGTAAGATGCTTTGTTTTGTTTTTTTATCAGCTATTCTTGCTTCTGACATAGCTCAAAATTCTTCCTTGTGCTTTCTGCCAAAAAGCATGTTCATCTAATAATGTTACATCCGATAATGTTTCCTTGCATTATGGCATGTATGTTGTTTCTGTCAGCATTTCCTCTATTCTGATTACTGGTTCACTCAATATTATCTCATATACTAGTTACTGGTTCATGTGGCGTATCTTCAAATTCTGCTCAAGATCATGGTGTTGCCATCAAAATATTCTCTAAGTTCATATCCTCAAGTTCTGGCAACTAATCTCCTATTAATTTGAATAGTAATTCAGGGAATTCTTTAGAAGGATAGTATTTAGTGAAAAGAGCCAAGATTCAATCCTTGATCTTTATGTCAGAAAGGTAGGTGTACTATCCACTCATCCAGGCTGTCACTCCCAATGAGTGAATAACACCTTGTTATATTTGTATAATTCATGATACTTTGACATTACATTACTGCTTTGTGTAATGTACCAAATCTTGAATGATATTTATGTTAGGCTTATTTTATGATTGCTATCAGAAAACATATACATTGTATACTGCTCAGATACAATGAACTAATATCTATTCATTTGCTCTTAAGATGGAAACTTAAAATTTCTTAATTTAAAGAGCTGGTACAATTTACTTGTTATCATGAGAGTGTGGCCAAATAAATTATTTTTTCTTTGTCTAACTGTTAGTTGTGAAGTATTCCACACATATGTACATCTTATTTGATGTTCTCTCATCAAAAAGCATATACTCTACAATAGTAAACAAAGATAATATGAAGAATAATAGAACATAAAAAAACAGGTTATTTCAAACCTTTACATAAGAAAAAACATGTTTTTTTCATTTCAGTTTATGAAACAATACTCTTTTGAAAGGAAATATTTAAAAAATAAAAATTATGATCATGTTTAGTTTCCTACACACAATTAATTCCCAAGGCTATCAAAATCAACTTATCACCAGGTGAAAAACAAAACTTAACACTACCCAAATAGGTATATTAAAAAGGAAATCATATCTTGATTGGTATATTGAAAATGAAATCATATCCTGAGAAAACACAAATCACTATTTAACAAAAAATTAAACTGCCAAACAATTGAGCATAACATTCCTAAACTACTTTTTTTTACCATAAGAAAACTTGTGCCAACAAGTATTTATACAGTAATAATAATAATAATAAAAAAAAGAAGAAGAAGAAGAAGTCAAAAGAATAACAACAGAATCAATGCTCTCTTTAGTCTAGTACATACAAATAGTAACTGACAGGGATAAGTAGTTGCTCACTGAAACCAGTAGCAATGACCAACTGAACAAAGTGGTAATTTCCAGTAAGATTATGTAGTGTGATTCACAGTACTTTGAATTCTGTAATTATCCTAATAATTTTCTGATCTGCTACATCAGTGATTTGGATATTTCAAGTTTATTTAGCTATGAAATTCACTGTAGCCTCAAATTTTTTCTGTTATCAGTTAGTTCACCTATTAATATTGTTCTACCAGTAAGTGCAAATAAGTTTGCTATGATTATAATTTTTTGAAGTAGAAATAATTTGTCTTCATGCATACATATAGTTAATTTACAACATACCTTCCTCACTTGCTTGAGCTAGCAACATGGCTTTACGTCGAGCTCGTCGAATACGACACCAAATCATGAGTCCTATAACAAGCACAATGTATATGACTGCTGCACACAGTGTTATTGTAACAGTCTTGCTCATGGTACTAGCATCATCTTGATCCTCTTCACTTATCTGATTTGGACTGTAGTTTTCTGTACCTGGAGATGAAAAAATAACAACAACAACAATTTTTTTGTGTGAAATATAGATTGTTGAAACTTCACAACACTTCTTTAGTAATGATCTGATTATTGAGGCAGCTATTCAGAATAATATTAACTTAAAAAGTATTAAATTACTAGATGCAGATTTCACTTTAAGATGACCTGACTGCTAATTCAACCTCATCCAGGATATCATAAATTTATTGAATTATGTACAGATCTGTCCAGGTATTTTCAAACAGCACAAGTGAAAAACATTCTAACTATATGTTGCTTCTCTAAGTAAGTTAGATAAAAATAACAGTTTTTACCCATCTTATTATACTTTACATTACAACTGTTGTAATTTTATTCTTTTATTTGGGAGGGGGGGCTCTTTTATATAATCTAGTGAAAATAATTAAACATCCATCCATGTAACAATAACAAATTAGGTTTATTTACTCCTTAACATTTCTTTGTAACTTGTTGTAGGCCTACATTTATAGCCATATTAAATGCACTAACGTAAAAAACAACTTATTTGTACAAAGTAACTCAATATGCATGATAGCTAACAAAGATCCAAAAATATAAACACATTGACTGATTCACTCTACAGGCTAGAAAACAACTTTATATTTTCTTGATGATTCATTGTTTCACTGCAAGCTTACTTAGCTAACTGACTGGCTCACCCATATTTATTATCTAATCCTTGTTCTAGATATTTCACAAAGCCCCTCATTCATTAATATTTCCAACTATTCTAGGAATAGCTTGATTTTAATGTGATGTACTCTCTAAAATATAGCTTGTGATGCACAAAATGCTATTTAAAAATCTTTCTGTTGATAATGATCACATTCAAATATTATAATATCTCTAACTCCTAAACAATAAGCTTTTCCATATCCTCTAATAAATGTATCACTATAATATTCTATATGATATTACTGCATATAGTAATAATTTTGTGTGTTTATATACATGGTAAAATACTAAGAAATATTACAATGACTACATTTAGTTTGTTTGTTATGGTATAGGAAAATAAGTAATGGAATATTTTGAACAGCATCACACAAATATTAAAATCTTCAATAGATATAACATAAAAACTCACTTCGAACTACAAGAAGCACTTCAGCACGACGAAATCCCCCACTGTTTCCTGCAGTGCAGCCATATTTTCCCTTGTCATTCATATGAGCTTCCTTAATATAAAGTGTTCCATTATTCAGGACTTGGAATCGGTTTTTGTCAAAACCTTTCAACACATTATCCTTATCCCACTGTATACTTGGTTGAGGATCACCTTTAGCTTTGCAGTGTAGCATTACTGGGTAGCCCTCATAAGCTTCTGTGTCTGCTGGTGTTACTGTGAACCTAGGCATTACTAGTGGCAAAAAATGCTCTATTTCATTATACATAACAAACAGATGCACATAAAAAATGGAAAAATTGCTAAAAAATGTTTAGAATATTTTTTAACTGAACATCTTTTGTCTGGAATTCTAAAACAAGAATTCCAAGTAAGCAAACTTCATCAGAACTCATGAATGATAGCTGTAAAAGAGAGGAATCTTGATTCAACAGCGTCTCAGAATCAGAGTGGTGAAAGAGTAATTCTGGTTAGACAACTATCCACAAGACCTCAGAATCATAACAATAAAATTGAGGAATACTGGTTCATTAGCCGTTATCAGGTTTTAATGGTTGATAAACACACTGTGTTAACTATCTAGATATTCAGCTACTTTTAAAGTGAAGAACTAATTTATTTTTAACAAGATATAAAATTGTAATGATTGATATTTAAATTACATAATTTTGAAAACTTTTATGATAATTGTTTAACAATAGAAAAAAAAAGCACTTTAAAATATACACTTGTAAATACCCAAAAGTTTCACATATCTTGAGAATGATCAAGTAAGCTTATTGAGTCCTACACCAGTATATTCTGTACTATTTGTCAATGGGTCTTTTTTTTATTGGCAAAGTTAAATCTGAGTAATAAGTATCATACATGTTCAGGAAACATTCCAGAAGAGGCCTTCTCACTAACTGAGTGAAGTAATACAACACACATAAGACAACTTAAACTTCTATTCCTCAAGCTTTTTTCATTCAGCCTGCATTTAATGTATATGACCTAACATCACAGTATTCAAAATCACCTGACTAACTGTTAGGAACTAAGTGGTAGAGATTTCCTGTCTATAAAATAATGTGTTGTTGAAAGTTCCCTTTATCATAAACAATTATATTTGTTTCAACACTATTTCTATTTTGTTCTGCTCTTTGTGAAACAAAAAATTAAATGGTTTATATACTGGGTATTTAAATTACCATTTCAGAATATATAATTAGACAAACAGAACTTATGATAAAGTTATATTTTACGAGACCTTATAATTCATAACTTTAAAGAAATGAATAAATTAAGCAAGTCACAACTAACCCACAACTTCAACATTTATTGTAGCATTAATTGTCTCTTGAGGACTGGTAGCAATGCAGGTGTAACTTCCAGCATCTTCTGGTTGAACAACATTGAAGTGTAATGTGCCATTTTCATCCTTAATGTGAGGAGGCCAATGGTTAGATGGTGCACTATTCTTTACCCAATGAACTGTGGGTATCTTAGCACCCCGAGCTTTACAGTAAATCTTGCCTTTAGATCCCAACTCCAGCTTCTTGCTAACAGGAGGTGGGACAAACTTCAAAGTTTCTGCCCATAAAAGATGAAGAAGAAGAAATATTTCTCATAAGAATTATTCTGACTCTTTAATGATACATTATTATGGAGGACATAATCTGAAACAATTCATCTTCCCTACTTTATACAAGAAGTTGAAAGATATTTATGTAAGTGAATATTTAACAATGGAAATTTGCATTTTCTAATTCATTTTTTTACATAAAATGTTTGCCTTTTTAGATAATTCAAAGCTGGTGTGTCAAAAAATATGTATTGAATCAAATTCTCTCAATTTCTGTGGATACAGGTCAAGCTGGTATTCCATAATAGAAACAATCAGTTGTTTTTTTTACAACCAGGAGACATTAGGTTTTTCTAACCCTCTGCCTTTTTGAAGTTTAATGACACTTACTTAATAGGAGAAAAAAAAATTTAACTCTAATAAAGCTTTCATTTAATTGTTTAGCTCCAACTGAAAATTACATCTGATTACAATAAATATAGGAATGAATCTAATTCCATACAGATTTTTAGTGTTGAATAAATATAGAAACAATTTTTTTTACCTTTAACAGCCAGAGTGCTGTTTTCAGAAAAAACTGGAGGAAACCCTGATGTGTTAACCACACATCTGTATGTTCCTGCATCAGACAACTGCACATCTTGGATGACCAAAGTTCCTTTGTTTTCATAAACAGTAATGTGAGGATCAGAGGGGTTAACATATTGATCATTTTTTAGCCAGTGTACAGAGGCAATGGGATATGGACTTCCTTTATATTTGCATGAAAATGTTGTTGATTTCCCTTCATCTATCTGGATATCCACAGGGTTAGATGTGATCACTGGTGGAACTTTAAAAGCAAGAATCAGAAGTGAGAAAATCAAGGCCTTTATTGATCCAGATAACTTTGAAAATTTAACAGGAGTCAACAAAATTTCATATACGCCATTATGTCATATAGTATAAAATTTTAGAAACAGGTTTTTGAGCCATTTCAAAAACATAGCTGATAACATGAAGTTATATTCTTGATTGTTATACACTACTCTGTGTTTTAAAATGAAAAGAAAACCAAGACAGTTGAATCATGATCTAACAGCAAAGGTTTATATTTTATAAATTATTATTAAACATTAATTTTCTAAAGTTAATGCTTGAGCTAATTTTATCACAAACAAGTGTAAACAAAAGTCAAATGTTAATAAGTACGTATCTATTAATACTATTAGAAGATTGACCAAACAATAATTCAACTAGAAGAAAACAATGGCCAGTGACAAAAAGATCAAAACAGTTTAAGACAGTGTTATTTTACTATAAATTGATTTATTCTCATGTAAAAAATATAGTAATTTGTCATTTTTTTGTGAGGTAAATAAATATGCCATGCTTTTTGACAGGCTAATTTATATCTCAGTTAATTTTGGGGGCATAAAAAAAAAATTCCCTGAAAATGTACAGTTTGTTGAAATTGGATGAAAAAAAAATCAAACATTGTCTTAAAAATAACAAAGAAGAGACAGGTCTAATGTTCATGATAAAAATCATAATTGAATACAGATGAATTAGTTTCTGTTTCTTTGCCAGCTTTTGGTATTTAATACTACAACAGAAAAGATGGGCTTAAAAATTCCTTTGAAGCTAATTAAACTGTTTGGAATTTATTCTCTTTCAGGGTTAGTACAGAGTAAAGTTTTTTCTTGATTGAAATGTCTTTGATAAAACTGTTTATGTAGAAAACAAACACAATCATAGAGCCATGACACATCTGACTGACAAATTCTTCCAAAACACCAGAAATCCAAATAATATTTTACAATCCTTTTGTAAGTTTAAAACTTTAAACATAAAACTGTATTCAGTGTTTGTTTGGATATACTAATGAAATTTCATAAAAGGGTGCTACAGAAGATGTTGAAAAGTTAAGCTATTATAGATTTTTGAAAATTATTTAATATTAATATTATAATTTGTGTTAAATAACAAAATAATAGCTAGCTTTAGTAAGATTAGTAAGTAAAAGTAAGACGGTCAAAGTTTTAACTTAAGAGGTTAGTGGCGTAAATTGTACTACAATGTTAAATTAGGCTTAGTATGTGTAATGGTACTTTAGGTTTAGCTATAATTCAACTTACTGGTAAATCACAAAACACATTAATATTGTTTTATTAAATAAAAACAATCTAAAGACTAGTTTATTGCCTCCTCCTGTTTTGAAGATTAACTTGTGTACTTCAACTTAGATCCATTAGTTTAAATTCAGCTTATAGTTACAGGTAGGTTATACATGGTTTGAAGTATACATCAGAGTAAAGACTATTTATTGTCACTTCTAATAAAGTTATATTTCTAAGTTCTATATAATTAAAAATAAACTTAATTACTTTAGTGTGAAGACAAAGTAGTGATAAAAAACCTAATATAACTGGTTCTTAAACGTTAGGCTTAACAGTAACAGTGTTGATAATGATTGCTTTATTAGGTTTAATGCTTTGCTGCATATGAAGTTAAGGAATAATGATATTTTGGTTAAAAGTCTAAAAAAGCAAATTTTGAAGGGATGCAACAAGAATTATTTGTTGTGAATTGGGCAGCTGAGTTATTTGGAGACTGATCAGATGTGGAAAATTTTTAAAGAGATTTTTAAATATTCAAAGTAAACATATTCCTTATAGAAAGAAAAGGGTAGCTGCATATGTAGATGAGAGTAAGGATGTAGATTTGGTGTATCTGGATCTTCAGAAAGCATTTGACAAAGTGCCACATAAAAGGATTGTAAAAAAATATATCTCTATTGGTGTGGGGAATGAGTTAGCAAATTGGATGGAGGAAAGAGAGTTTTTACAAATGGAGTTCAGTCAAATTGGATTAATGTCACAAGTGAGGTACCTCAAGACTCAATCTTAGGACCTTTGCTCTTTTTGATTTACATCAATGATATAGATGAAGGAATGGTCAATAAATTACTTAGATTTGCAGATGATATTAAGGTCTTGGGTGTTGCTAGCTGTGAAGAGGATGCTGCTGGTTTATAAAAGGAATCAGATGATTTAGTGAGTTGGGCAAATAAATGGCAAATGGGTTATCATAATAATAATGATAAGGGCTGGCTTTAAGATTTTTATTTATTTATTAATTAATAGTTTTAGTTAAGGTTAGAGGATGGGACAGCCGAGATTGACCATGTTGTTCCAAAACATTGTGCTATTTAGTGATGGATTATGATAAATAGTTGATACAGATGACCATAAAACCAGTTGAAATTTACATATGACGACATACAGATCATTGTTTTACAGCTATACACATAAAAACCAAACATACAACCTTAAATGTAAAAAAAAAGTTTTGATTTATATATATGTTTAACCAACCACACTTCACTTACTGGTAACAAACAGCTCTATTTTTTTTCTCTTCTCTCCTGCCAAGTTTTCTGCCACACAGGTGAAACTACCTGAATCAATTTGTTTAACATCATTGATAATTAAGCGACCATCCTCTACTCTAATACGTCCACTGTCACTCAGAATGTGACCCTTTGGATCTTCCCACCAAATTCGAGGAGGTGGAAATCCCGCTGGAGCCAGACATGCCACCTCAAAAAGACCATGTAAAGGGAAGAAAACTCTCTGATTTTCATCAAGTAGTGGCTCAAATGAACTTTCTGAAAGCTCTTCGAGGTCTGAAATTCAAGAGAACTAATGGAGCACGAACAGCCACTAAACAAACTTCTAAATAACATATTTAGATTCCATATTTCTTCAGTTTTATAATCAGTGGCAAAACTGATAAGTTAACTTACAAACCTTCTATTACCAGATGGTTCTTTAGCAAATTTTACTATCTAACAACTAGGCCATTTTCTTCACATTCTTCTCTATTACTTCATAAACTATATCTAAATTAACCATCGTTCTACCATGGTTTACAGATTTACTTGTTGACTTTCAAGAAATATCATTTACCCCAAAGTGCAAAGATTTAAAATAAATTAAAACTCACTCTTCTAATATAGATCCAATCCTTAGTATATTTTATATGATGAGAGAGATGGAAATTTTATTGGATAAATATGCTATTGAGCAAAATTACAAAAAATAATTTAAAATCTCACAAATATATGGTATTTAAATATTTAAGAAAAAACAATAGGCCATATTTACAGCTTACATTACATAAAAGATACATCTACGATTCACTTCAATGTTTCTGTTATACTGAGGTTTCTCTTACAGCTGTCTCTTGGTAACTGTAGGAATCAGCATTACATGAATTCATTGTGATTTATACCTTAAGATCTGTGAAAGGTGCATTGTAGGATTGGACGATACTTACATGCAAGTTTTAGATGGGCTATATAAGTTTGTTGGGGTATGTCTTTGCTGGCACTAATTCCAACACAGCGATAAATACCCTGATCCTTATACTGAACATGGGATATGAGAAGAGAACCATTCAAGAAGATTGTATGCCTATAATAGAAAAAAAAAGTTATCTACTTCAACCAAAATGTATTAATTTAGCTATTATTTATATGTTTACCACATACACCTATGCAAGTTTCAATACAGAGTATCCAACCAGTTGTATAAAAGGGTAATGGAGTGTGGACTGTTTTCATATTATTGATGTGGTATATGTACAGCCTGTAAAACTCGTGGCATGTGGACTGTTTTTATATTATTGATGTGGTATGTGTGGACTGTTTTTATATTATTGATGTGGCATGTGTACAGCCTGTAAAACTCATGAAGTGTGAACTGTTTTGATATTACTGAAGTAATATGTGTACAGCCTGTAAAAACTCATGGAGTTTGAACCATTTTGTTACTACTGTTTTAGCATGTGCATGTATGTGTATAGAGGGGAATGGTAGGGCCAATGGTCAAATTATATACAAAGTCTGCTGAGAACTACCAGTAATTCTTTATACAGCACGGATAATTTTGTAGTTTCTGGGGTATTGGCACACCTAAACTACATCAAGTAAAAGCACCGTTTAACTCTTAATATGCAGTTTGAAGCAATCATAGGCCAAATGTGAAAACAAATCCATAGCTATCGTAGAGTAAAAGAAATAAATTGCCATGTTTTTCAACATATATATACATTATGACATCCATACTTACATAACATTTCACTTTTTTTTTGTAAACAACAAAATAAATGCGTCTATTGTGACGTTTATATAATTTATATTAAAACGAGTTATTCCTGTTTGAAAAACAATCATTTGCTCACAAAAAACAAAAAAAAAGGTGAAAAATATATAAAATGGTGTGTCTTAAGGCAGGATAAACTCTGTAACACTCTGTATATAACATATTACACTGTGCCCTTAACCACGAGGCTATACTTTGAGTTGCTTACAAAGCACGTATTTCTCAACATGGACATCGCCAGCTGCATCACGTAGTTTTGTTTGGAGAGAAAGCAGAAAATCAGACTCTTCAGAAAGTGGGCAGTAGAAGTCACACATGAAGTATATTCTATTATTGGTAATCTAGGACTTGGCAAACAAAAGCCAAAAATTGTGACACTGAACGCACAGTTCAGGTATCACTTTATATACCACATGTGTAAAAACTAGAAGTGATATCTATAACAAGAACGAAAAAAAAAAATAA